GCCTGTAGTTCCCAGGTCTTCCTTTCTTCCTTTCTTAGAAACAGGAGAGATGTTTCCCCTTTTCCCATCCCGAGAGACTTTGTCTGACAGCCATGACTTTTCAAATATGATGGAGAGCAGCTTGGCAGCCAAGGTTGTCTCTGTTCAGCTGAAGCTGTGGCCATGCCACAGCACAGCAGTGAGCCGTGCTGCCAACACGTGCAGTGCTGGGTTGGAAGAGATGCAGCCCATGGCTGTCGTGCCTGGCAGCAGCGGGATGCTGACAGTCTGTGTGTTCGGGCATAAGGCAGCTCTGTGTAATTCAGCCTCACTGTTCTTGTCAGTTCAGAGTCAGGAGGACCATGTCACTACACGTTTCATCTAAAAAACCCCAAATAAATCACCTTTTTCCTGCAGCTTGCAAGAGGAATGTTGTATCTTTAAGGCACCCCCCTCCCGTTCCCCTAATACCTCAAGGCCTCTGAGTGATTCTGGAGGAGAGGATCAGTGCAAGAGTTTCAGGCATCTTTCCCTGCCCTGCTGCACTGCTCACTTACCGCTCTGAAGGCTGTGCTTTGCCATTTCCATGGAAACCATTAGTTGCTAAGCAACTGGAGCATCATCTGTGCTGAGCCCTCGCATCTAATTATCCCATCACAGTGGCTGAGAGGGGCTGGGGGGGATTAACTCTTCTACCATGGCAGATCCATTGACAACACTTTAGTAACATTTAAAGGGACATCATCACCCTTCTCTAGCATTTACTAGTGGTGTTGCTCAGACAGTGACTTGGTTTTCTTGCATTATTGGAATATAAGGAGAAATAGAGGTTTCTGCAAGCAACCAGGAGAAGCTGGCAGTGCTTGTGGCATGCTGGCTGCCCATGCAAGGAGCTCTGCTGAGAGCTGTTGGGTCTTCTTCCTGGCAGAGGTGTGCACACCCTGCTTAGCTGCGTGCCTGGGTAGTGCACTCCGTGTCTCATGGACTGGGGCCACACTTCCAGACCTCATATCTCTTCTTTGCATCGTGTGCCTTGCAGAGATTCCTGTGGTTTGAAGTGGAGAGAAAGGTGCAAAGCAAAAGCTCTTTTTTTTCAACTGTGATTGGGAAACAGAAAAAAGGAGCAGTGCTCACAGCCTTTTGCTTTTGTTTCTTCGGTGTAAGTGGGCTCAATACCCGCTCACAATGTGAGGTCTCAGTGAGAAGGTGGTGGGCCATGTGAGCACAGGGGGCAGGGGATGACTGCTTCTCAGCAAAAGTGAGAAGGTTGTGCACATGCAGAAAGGAAAGGAACTGTTCAGAACAGCATTTGCCATGTGTTGGGGGCTTGCAGAGATTAGGAAAAGCAAATGTGCAAACCTATGACTCACGCATGAGGTCCCAGAGTCAGGAAGGAGTAATGTAAAAGCTGCTTGAGCCATGTGCTGAATGCTAATGAGGCAAGCAACGCTCACAGGAGTGCTGCAGCCCGCCGTCGCTGTGCTTCGCCACCAGTGTGGCCGATTCCCTGCAAAGAAAGAGCAGCTCATGCTGCAGGCCATGCTGGATAACTGCAACTTCTGTGCCTTGCATAGCAAGGCAGTCAGGGACTGCAGAGCTGTGTGGCTCCTAAGTGGAACAGATGGGATGTCCTCTTCCACAGTTTGCAGTCCGTGCTGATCCCAGGGCAATCTCTGAGGAGGAAGCAGCCCTGGCCCTGGACATGGGGTCTTCCTGCTGAAGCAGACCAGTGCTTGCTCTCAGCCCTTGGTAGCGGCTATGGGAGGTGGGACAGAAATGCAGGGTGGTTTTCTGTTGTTGTTTTAAAGTAAAAAATACTTAAACAACTTTATATGTGAGGGAAGAGCCCTTTATATTTTCAAGAACATTTGGTTTCTAAGAGCCAATCTCAACAGATGCACTGTCAGTTCTGAGCAGGACAACCTCATATGGAAGAGCTGTGTATGAGGAAAAATGTATCGGCTGTACCAAATGCCTCCCACTCAGATTGACATCCCCGAAAAGTGGAGCAGCTTTATCTCAATTAATGTCCAGAACTGTGCTCCTCAATGGAGTCCCTTAGTAGGAATCCAGCTCCTTCTTCCTCTTGTGAGCCCTTTTGTGCAGGGGGACCTGAGGACAGGACTCTGCAGTGCACGCAGGCACGAAGCTGGAGAGGGAACCGGGTACCTGTCAGATACACACACAGGTGCTATTCGGCCTGGTTGATGCACGTGGTTCATCCCTCTCTGTTCATCCCTTCTGTAATCCAATTTGCATTCCCTTTTCTTCCTCTGGATCCGGCTGTTACCATGGGAACTATGTTCACAGTTGCGTTTCATTGGCTTCTGGAAAAACTCCTTTTTCCCTTTCCCCTTTTCCACCTTGGGCACAGAGCTGTCAGGGGGTGGGGAAACCCATAAGGATTCTGGTAACCAGCAGGAAGGCAGCAGTCAGAAGGAAGAACAGGGAATTACGGCAAGGCCTGAAGGAGCTGGAGGAAGTAATGGTGCTCGTGTGGCCTGCAGCTCGGTCACTGGTGTGGCACTGATGTACGGGTGAGAGAAAAAAGGGAGGAGAAGCTGCTCAAGTCTCCTGCGCTGCCTGTATGCTACCTCTTGTTCTGCCCAAGGAGGAAGGGCTTGCTTTGAGGGCCTTTTCAAGAGCATGCACAGAAAGTTGCAAGCGGCTGAGATACCCCATCTTAATGAATTAACACTTGTTGGCTTCTCTGGTTTTCTTGCTCCTCACGCAGCTGCGTGATGTGCCTTAGTGCTTCCAATGCAACATCTCTCCTTAAACTGTGAGAGGAAGAGAGAGAGCGAGCAGCAGGGCTGTGCTCCACTGCCTCTGGCCCTGACTTTTCCCATCTAAACAGACCCTGCCTCGGTTTTTGTCCTGGCAAAGCACCTCAGCCTTCAGTGCTCCTGGGTGCCTGCTGCCAGATTCTCAGCCCTCCTGCACTGCCTTCCCCCTGAGAGAGGATTTTAATGATCAGTTCTGAGTGTGCACAGCTGTGAACTGCTGTAAGATACCTGTTAGGCAGATATTAAAGCAGGGCAGGCAGGATGGGGTGATTCAGTGGTTCCAGCACCAGTTGCTGCTCCTGGAAGGGGGTGTTTGCTTGGCAGGAGCGAGGACGCCTCAGCCATTCAATTCTTTCATTGCGTGGCTGGATGTAAAATCTCCTCTCGGCATTTTTTCAGCCACAGTTCCTCCTTCTCTTCGCTCAGATCCCCCCCGACCCCCCCACGCCGTTATCCGCTCTCGCGGAGCCACCGCCCGGGGCTCCCGCGGCCGCAAGGGGGCGCCATAACAGCCGCTCGGGCCCTCCGCCGCCGCGGCGCCTCCCCTGCGCTCAGCCGGCGCTTTGCGGGGCCCCGCGCGGTTCGGGGGCGGCTCCCGGCGTCCCCGGCGTCCCGCATCGTGAGCGGCTCCTCCCTGAGAAGCTGCCCCGGGGGCACGGGAAATGTCAGAATCCCGGGCCGGCCCAGAGAGTGGGAGTCCGGTGTTAGGCTGCCTCGGAAGCCTTGCGCGCAGAGCGGGTTTCTTTGCGAAGAAGGGAATCTTTCTTTCTTTTTGTGTTTCTGCCAACGAAACGGAGGGATACGCACGTATTCCTGAGGCCGGAGGAGCCGGCCGCTTGTGTGCAGTTCTGTGTAGCCGTGCGAGTGGCGGTTAATAAGGTGAACGTTTCATAATACCGATATTGTGGAGAGCTGCTGTTGCCAGACGCGCGGATGCCGCGCCTTTGGGCGACGAGCCCGGGCTGCCGGGGGCCTGGGGCAAAGGTCTGCGGTGCCTCTGCTCCTGCTGCGAGCTGCCTGATCCTCCAGGGGTCAGCCTGGGCGCTGCTGGCTCATCTTTCTCATCCTGCCTGTGCCGTGGGACGCCCCCCCAAAACCTTACTATTGCCCGAAAAGCACAATGGCTGTGAGCTCTGCTTCTGTGATGCTGCGTGCTGGGAAGACGGCGTGCATCCAGCACTGAGCTGCTGCACTGCAGAGATGCTGCTGTGGGGTACGGCGGTGCCCACACGTCTGTGGGAGAGCATGGAGCAAGGTTGGGGGAGCTGGGAACGTGGGAGGAACACGGATTGAGAAGCAGCTGACAGGTGGCTGGGCAGGAGGACCTTTCCCTTGCACCAATTCCCGGAGTCCTGCTGGCAGCCGGCTGAGGTGCTGAGCATCTCAGGGAAGCACCATCAGGGATGCATGTCTGGGGGCCTGGGATATGGATGAGCTGAAGGAGCAGCGACCCCAAACGCTAATAGAGATATTGAATAAAATTGTATTTGTGTCGGGTTTGTGGCCTCGCAGAGCAATCCTGATCTCTGCTCCAGGGCTCGCTGACAAAGGGCTCACGTATCCGCAGCGACAGAGCTCCCAGCGTTCCTCGGGAGATGGAGGGACTGAGTAAATAACCACGGGGAGGGATTGCTCCGTGCCCGCTTCTGCTTCGCCACGAGACTGCAGCAACAGGGACAACAAAACCCGTTCTTACGCCTCGCTCCCCGCTACAACGCGCTGTGCTGTAACTTCGGGGCGGGTACCCGCAGCCCCGCGCACCGCCTGCTACTTGTGGCAGGACGTCCGTCTGTCCGGACAGCCCCGCTTGCACGCTGATGGAGCGCTGCCGGGGAGCGGCGGGCACCTGCGGGCGGCGGAGCGGAGCTCAGGAATGCGATCGCGGGCAGGCAGACAGCGCCGGAGCCGCCTCTGTTTGTACAACCCCGAGATCCCCCGCAGCCCGCGCAGGGCCTGCCGGTGCCTGCGAGCCAGCCAGGAATGTCACACGGAAATCTCGGTGCTGCGGGGGGAGCCGCGTTCCGCCTCGCCCCGCGGGTTCATCCCGCCGCCCTCGGCACCCCGAGCCCAGAGCCTCGGCCCACCCGGCTGCCGGCCTCCCTCTGCCTCGCGGGGGGAATCTGGCTGGCTTTGTGTCACTGAGGCGCTGTGATTTCAGAGCCAACCCTGCCTGCTCAGTTTTTCCAAACCCTCACTTGGAAGGAAGGAGCCATATCAGGATAAGAGTCCTCCCCACCCACCCCGCTCCCTGCCACCTTCCCGGCTCCCCAGCCAGCCCAGGCCCCGGGTCGCAGTGGGAGGCGCCGGCCGTGCTGATTGCTGCATTTATTACACCGGTGGCCTCGCTAAATGGTTTAACCCTTTGCTCCCTGCAGATGCTGCCGGCGTTGCTTTGCAGGCGGCCGGCTCGGGTCCGTCCCGCTGGCGGCTGCCCCTGCCGTGCAAGCTGCCCTGGGGGCTCCCATTTCTGTGTCCCTGCCGAGGTGGCAGGAAGCCCCCCGCCCTGCTGGGCAGCAGAAGCTCCCCCCTGAGCTCCGATGCCGGCAGCCCTGAGTTCTTGCTGCCGTTGTTACCAGAGACCAGGCTGCTGCAGTGGGAGTTAAACTCATCTGCTGTGCCAGAACTCCAGCGGAACCAAGGCTTTGTGCGCACCGCAGAAGGCCAGCATGAATTCTGAGCTGCAGTGATCATCTGAGACTGTGGGAAGATGAGTCTGGCACGGCCAAGGGAGGAACAGTGAAGGGAGAAGGCTTGGAGAGCTGTGTCGTGCCGTGTGTGCATTAGGACTGCATCTGATGTTGTAAGACATCCCGAGCCTTGGTGCCTTTGTGATCCTGAATTGTGTCAGCGGTTTGTCTTTGCAAGAAGGTGGTTTGTCAGCAGTGTATTTTCATGTGGGGAACTGTTTAGCCTGATTAAATTCTCCTCTGGTACTTCAGCACAGGTGGCATTTTGGCTTTGTAACTGCAGCATAATAATCACAGACTCATAGAATGGCCCAGGTTGGAGGGCAGCTCAAAGCCCACCCAGTGCCACCCCCGGCCGTGGGCAGGGCTGCCCCCCACCAGCTCAGGCTGCCCAGGGCCCCATCCCACCTGGCCTTCAGTGCCTGCAGGGATGGGGCACCCACAGCTCTCTGGGCAGCAGCGCCAAGAAAATCCCACAGGGTGTGGAGGGAGCTGCAGGACCCATCCAGTCAGACAGAGCAGGTCTCAACCCCAGCATGAGAACTCTGAGCTGGAGACCGAGGCTGAATGCATCCCTACACGTGTTGTCTTCGTGCTCCCCTGTTTCTTCCGGCAGCAGTGACTGAACGGCCTTGGCCTGTTGGATAGGGGGCGGTTAATAAGTTAGCATGAACACAACAGCCTGGAATCCTCCTTTGAAAGGAGTATAGACGCCAAGCTGGATGCTCCTGATCTTTTCCAGATCCATCTGGCCAATGGCACACTGTGCCTGGGCAGCTGCAGGAGCGCAAGAGGGAGCACAGGCTTCTCACAGCTGCCTGCTGCTGGCTGCAGCACTGCTCAGACTCTAATGAGCACGTAATGAGGGAGCCCATTCTTCCCCGTTGGCCACAAGGCTGGGCACAGATCTGGGGCCTTGCCTGGTTGGCTTTTTTCCCCTTTCCTTGAGCAACAGCTTGTGGTACCATCGAAACAGAAGTGGGATTGAGGACTCACCGTGCAGCCTGGGAGAGACGGAGGCATGGCAGGGACCTGCAGGACTGTGGGATAGGATCTGTGCCAGCGTCTGCGGGAACTGAGACATGGTGGCCAGGAATCCGCATAGAGAAAGATTGAAGGGCAGGACCGAGGCAGCATCAGGAGAACAGAGATGTTTTTAGGCTGGACTACCTCTGCAGCTGAAATCTCATCTCTTCCTTCTCCTCTCCCGGGGAGCAGCGGATGAGTCCAAGCCTCCACATGCCAGGTCTGCAGATTTAGTGCTGGGGCTGCTGTGATCTCCCTGCTCTCCCTGCCCAGGCTCGTTTCCTTCATGCCAGGTGATGTGTGCTCTTCCATCCCCTGGGCCTCAATGGGGGGTTGGTCTGGGACTGGAATGGGCCACCGGGGAAACCTTTCACAAAGAGCTCCAGCTAACTGTGAATCACATCGTTAATTCCAGTGTAGTTAATTGGACCTAATTAATCATATTCATAAGTGTAATGAGAGCCTTGCCCACAGGGGTCTTGTGGAGGTCTGAGCTTGGGGACGGTGTTCTAGAGAGGCAATGGGAATGAACACATCCCTGGATCCCATCAGTGAAAGTGCAACAGGACAAGGCTGTGGCCCTGCAGCCCGGTGTCTCCCGTGCCCCACCTTTAGCTCCCTCTTCTCCTGGCTGCTGCTTTCCACTCTGTATGGCTCAAGCTCTTTGCCTAAGCGAGTTACTCAACAGCACCTCACCAGGGACCTGCTCACGCTCCTTAAGAAAACAGCCACCTCTTTGCATGGACTGATCTGAGCCAAACCGTGACCTTGACAGCAAGCACTCTTGGTCTTTGGCCCAGGGAACACTAGTTTGGAAAGGAGACTCTGGGCTTCCAAGGTGTGTGTTTTTCTTGTTGCATCTTTCCCTTTGAGCAAGGGTCATCGTCTTGGGAGAGCCAACGGCTCCTGCCATTGGAAGAATGAATGTGACAGCAGAAGGAAGGAGTGGCGTATTTGTTGGAAATGCCCAGCACAGGTTGTAACCTGGAACGGTTCCTTCCCCTCCTGTCTCTGCTGGTGTGGCTGTAATGATAGAAAAGGGGAGACTGGGAGTGTTAATTAAAAGCAGAGCTGAGCACGGAGCTCACAGGGGCAGGCCTCCCACTGCCCTTTCCCAGTCTCACTCAGCCACTTATGTGTGTGCAGAGAGATGTGAGGGGCTGTGATATCAGAAGCCTGGGAGCAAAGGGGAAGGGGAGAAGGAGAGGTGGCGAACAGGTGGAGGTCCTCTGTCCTCTCTGCATTGGGCTGAGATGGAGAGAAGCAGCTCTCAGCTTCTCAGGTCGCACTGTGCCCGCTGCCCAGCCCGCCCACCAAGGCTGGGTGCTGAGAGAAGCCTGGGGCGACCAAAGGCACATCTATACGTGGTCCCTTTTGTCTGCTCCGGCCTCAGATGTTTTCCCCAGGCATTGCTTTGGGTGCACCTGGGGGAAAACGTCTTCGAAGGGGAATTACCGATCCTTTCTGTTTTTCCCTTTAGGAGCAGCGAACTTTCACTTGCCTTCCGTGCCTCTGCTGTCACTCGGCTGTGGCAGCCAAAGTTTGCTTTGCCGAGCTGTGCGTTAGGCGCTCGCGTCGCTCGTTTGCTCACAACACCGCCCTGGCTGAGGACGGACGCGGCGGGGGCGGCCGGGATGTGCGCCCCCCGCGGGGGTCCTCCGCCGCTACTCGCCGCCAGGGGGCGCTGCCGCCGCGTCCCCGACCGCCCCCCGCGCTGCGGTTCCCGCGGGGCCGCCCCGGTGCGGGCAGCACTGTGCGGGGGGGGGGGGGGGCGGAACGGCGCTGCGCCCGATCAGGGAGCTCCGTGCCGGGGCTCCTTGCCGGGGTCTTTGCTGAGGGTCCTCTCTGGATGCCGCGGTGGCTTTCTTGCTGTGTCATTCCTCGCCCCGAGCCAAGTCGGTAACCGAGGCTCTGTCTCCGGTCGTGGCCGCTGACTTGCGGTCACGCCGGGCAGGAGGGAGAGACGTATCTTGTCAGTTAGGGCCGCTGCTTCCCGGCAGCTGCGATGCATTGCTTGTCCCTGGATCCCCTTTAGCTCTGCAATGCTTTAAGATGCTGCCGAGCGGTCCGTGCCGCCAGCCCACCCCTGGGCGATCCGGGCACTGCAGGCAGAAGGTGACGCGGACCTCGGGGACGCTCCCAGGGAAGCTGAACTGCCGCGCCAAGGAGGCTGCGGGGCTTCATCTGAAGCGCACCGGGGGATGGGAACGGGGCGATGAACCAGGCCCGAGTGACAGCACTGAGAAAGGGCTGAGCGCTGGGGAAGCCCGGGCCGTGTGGATCCACGGGTGACGTTGCCCCTTGCAGGCAGCACAGAAACCCGCCAGTAATCGCATTTGTGCGAGATAACCGGGCGTGTAATGTCGCACAGGCGGATGTGCATCTGTGCAGCCGCTCGCAGGCAGGCAGCCACCTCTGCTGCAGGGGCTGCAGGCGGCTTCAGACCGAGCACCGCGCGCCCGGCGCTGCCCTTCCCCGCCGTCGGGTCGGAAATCTCCCCGTGTCTCAGCGGCGGGTGCTTCCTCGCTGCTCCGCGCGCTGTGTTGCCGTTCCCGGCCCAGCTCCACCGTCTTCCCGGCGGTGCCCGGCTCCGTCCGGACGCGCCCTGCGTGTTCGCACCGTGCTTGCGAGAAGGACGTTCCGCGTGTTTCCCCCTCCGTCGCTCGGCACGCAGCAGCCGCTCCGCCAGGGGAGCTGCCGCGCCCGCCGCAGGGTGCGACGAGCAGAACCCCATCCTGCAGCCTTTTTTACTTTCGGCGGTGGAAGGTTTCTCCGTCGCAGGCTGCTTGCAGAAATGAGGTCATTTTGTCCGCGTCCCCCGCCAGGCGACGGCGTCTCCTTCCTCGCAGTAATCGCAGAGCCGAGGCCCGCGGCTCGGCAGTCCCGCCCGGGGCTCCCAGGGGCCGCGGGGCCGGCGCTCCCCGTTCCGAGCCGGGCGGCGGTGCGCGGGGATGCGGTCGGGCTGCGCGCCCCGTCCCGGCGGCCGTGCGCCTCCAGCGCCGCCCTCGCAAGGTGCGCGTCCCCGGCAGGCCGCTGGGAGGCCGGCGGAAAGCCCGAGATTAGGAAGCAGTTAATCAGCGCCGGAGAGAGCGGGGCTTTTATTTTGACAGGGCAGCGCTTGGCTCCTTGCACGGAGGAAAGTGAATGATCCTGTTTCTCCAAATGATTATTCAGGCTCCGGCGGAGAAAGGAGCACTCGGCACGCAGCGCTTCGCCCCTCGCCACGGCGCCCCCGCCCGCCCCCGGGCTGCCGCGGCCGCCGGCACCGGAGCCGCCCGCCCGGCGGGGAAAGCGCCCGCAACTCGCGGCCGGGAGGGAAGTTGGTGCTCGCCGCGGCCGGACGCCGAGCTCCGCCGGCGGGCGCGGGCTGGAGCCGCCGGCGGCGAAAGCGAAAGGAGCGGGGCGGTGGGGCGCCGGGCTCGGAGCGCCGCCCGCCCGCGGCCCGGCCCCGCGGCGAACGGCGGTGGCACGGCCCGCTCCGCGCCATGAGCCCGGCCTGCGGGGCCGGCCCCGCGCCGCCGGCCCGCGCTGAGCAGCCCGCGGAGCAGCGCCTCGCCGCCGCGGGGAGCTCGCCCGGCCTGCCCTGAGCCGCGCCGCCGCCGCCGAGGTGAGTGAGCAGCCGAGCCCAGCCGAGCCGAGCGCTCCGCGGCCGCGCCGGCAGCGCCCCATTGTTCCGCCGCGGGAGGGACGCGGCACCGCGGCTGTCAGCGGCGCCGGGGCGGGACGGGACCCGCGGGCCGAGCCGCGCTGCGGGAACGGCGGAGCGCCGGGCGGCGACGAGCCGCGCCGCCCAGACGAGCCGCGCTGCCGCGGTGCCGCTGCGGTGGAAGTTGCCTCTGAAGGGCCCGGCGGGCTGCAGCAGGTGGTGGTCCCGCACCGCGCCGTCCCCTCCCGGCGCTCAGCCCCGTTCCCGCCCGGCCGTGCGCGTAGCTTTGCTGTCAGTGCGCTCTGGGCACGTCCCGGGCATCGCCCGCGCTCTGCGTGACCCTTCCGACTTCGCTTTCACGTTTTAGAGACTGCTTTCCTCGCGTCCTTGCCGTCCGTCGCCTTGTTGCTGGTAACTGCACGAGCAGCAGGCGGCCTTAGCCGGGCTCCAGGTGTGAAGAACTTCTTATTCGCGATTCGCCCGATTTTCCCTAGGCTGCTCCAAATCTCTGGCGTTGTTAAAGCCCCGGGGAGGACCGAAATGGGGATTCCTGCGTTTGGTGTCATTGCGTTTCACGTGGGGTTGAAAGAAGCGCTCCCGGAAGGCTGAGCCCGCAGGAGGTGTCAGGGCAGAGCTCTGCCCTCTCTTTGGCCGTGTTGCTGCTCTTTCCTGAGAAAGAACCAATCGATGCAACAAAACCTTGGCTGTGCCATGTTAGGGACATGTCTTCGGCAGGTGGTGAACTTGTCCCGGCCCTGTGCTGCTAGCAACCACTTGCTGGAGTAGAAATGTGAGAAGGATGCATATCTGAACACATAAGTAATGCTGCATGACGGGGCATGCTGTTGTGTTGTTGTGTGCAATGTCTGCGAGCCTCGGGGGCAGCGCTGTCAGAGCACAGGGCTGTGCTGTCACCTGGCTGCGTCCTGCACGAGGAGGAGGGCTGCTGCCCACCCGGGGCACGGGGTGACGGCTGCACACCTTTGGGGCTCTGCTCCCCATCCGAGCGCGGCTCTGCGGCTCCTCCCGCCCGCCAGCTCCCTGCTGAGAGGTGCACGCGCTGCTCTGCTGCTTTCGCACAGAAAACTGAGTCACAGAGGAAGTGATTTGCACAAGGTCGTGTTGTGAGGAGTGTCGGCGCTGAGCAGCGTGGCCGTGCCTGTGATAAGGCCGGCTGTGGCACACATGGGTGTGTAACACGCCCGGGGTGGTACCGACACAAAGATCACCCACGTCCACATTGCTCTGCGGTTCTCTTTCTCCACAATTTCTTTTTTTGCAGACTCCTCACGCCCTAAATGCTGTAGAGCCTTTTTGTTGTTGTTGCTGTGTTGTTTTGACGTGTATTTTGTCGTTGCAGCTGTGCAAACAGCGTGATCAGTGCTTCCCTGCCACCCTGAGCCCTGCCTTTGATACCTGCTGGCTGCTGTGGTGCTGCTGTGCAATGGGACAGTGTACAGTGCTGCGGTGCAGCTGGACATGTGAGCTCCTGCTCCATAGGAGCTGCCTCTGGAATTAAACCACTGCACAGCTCTGGTAGAACTCATGTCCATAGAGCTGTGCACCTTGCTGGTGTGTGATTGGAACCTGCGTGGTCCACATGCAGCTTGGCTCTTCAGCACAGCTAGAAGGAAATCTTGCTGGTTTGGGAGGAGAAGACTTTGGTTTTCCCTCTCGTTGCTGTTCCATCCTGCTGAGATGCTTTGGGTGCTCTCCATCCCCACAGTACTTGCTTTGGGAGGAGGTGCAAAAAGGAACACCTGGGTGCACCAGCTGCAGCCCTACAGGTGGCTCCTGGCTGTTGTTGTAGTGCTCTTTGTGGCTTAACCTTGTCTGTTCACTTTAACAGAAAATGTGGTGCTTTAGATATGTGGATGTAAGGGTGGACAGAGATACTACAGAGATGTGATGTACAGATAGAAGGGTGCTTTGGCAGTTCAAGCTGCAGGAAGATTGCTAGCATGAATCAAGCCCTAATATAGGTCCGACCTCAGCTCTGCCGGGCTCTGTTTCATTCCTCCCAGCATGAAGTTGTCTGACAAACAGGCACTCTGTGGATCTCACGCATGGTTCATTGTTTTTAGGGGGTGCTGGAGCTTTGCTGCTGGCTTGATGTGGTTTGTTCGTCTCCATGAGATTACAGCTGCCCCAGGAGGTTTGTGTGGTGATGAAGAGAGGGCAAAATGCACGCCTTGGAGCAGTGAAGCTGGGAAGCATTGCAGCTCCTTCTCTTCTCAGTTCTGTTTCCATCAGTTCTGAGATTGGGGTGAGGGAGTAGGATGACAGAAAAAGCATTCCCAGGTTTTTCCTGGCTTGTGAACTTGTGTACATGCTGGCTCTGCCTGCACAGGGGACCACGATGCTCTCTGCCCTTCCAGCATCCGATTTCCTGAGCAGAACAGTCAGCCCTACACTTTACCTTTCAAGTTGTGAGTCTGTTTTTCCAGCGTTCTGCTGGAAGATTGAACAACAGCTGCTCTCCGCATGCTCTGCAAATTTTCACCCTTCAGGTCCGTAGTGCAGAAGCTGCAGACTTCACCTTTCAGTGTGTGACCTGTTCTGCTCCAGCCAAGGGGTAGGATTGCTCTGTCCCCATCCGCTCGGTCTCTGTTACCTCCAGGAATCCTGGAGCTGCTCAGCTGTGGGCTTTGCTCCCTGTGAGAGCAGGAGTTAGGTTGGTTGGGTTGTCTTTTCTTTCCAGTTTGGCACACGAGACCTTAAATCCCAGCTAAGGAATGGTGGGAGCAAGATATCCTCAGCGTGGCTGTAAGGCTGCGCGCTGTTCCCAGAGGTGGGGCGGCACCCTGTTTGGTGAGGAGCTGTGCCGGAGCCAAGACCTGGGCCAGGAGCCAGGTTTGTGCTCCGTGCCAGAGAGGGAGAGACTTGGAAAGGGAAGCAGAGCTCCTCCTGTGCGAGAGATGGCCTGAAATACCGAGAGAAACCACAGAGTGCTCCTTGTTCCTGCTGTGCCTACTGGTCTTCCCTCTGCCCCAGTGCGTGGGACGCGATCTGCCAGGAGCAGGAGGGCTGCGCCGTGCCAGGATATGGTTTGTGTGAGAGATGCTTCACCACGTTGGCTGTTTACAGACTGCGAGCCCCTTGAAACGTAAGCACAGGAAATGCCAGGCTGCGGCGGGGCGGTGTGCGGCTCTGCGCCCTGTGCTGCTCGGCCTCCGGTGTAGCAGAGTTTTGCACCATCACAGGCTGGAGGAGCTGCAGAAGCAGGGACTTGGTTATTTTACCTCCGAGTGAGGAGGAAAAGTGAAAGGAAGTGACTTAACTGAAGGCAGGAAGTGAATATGGGGCAGAACTGGGGATGGAAGCCAGGAATCCCGATTCTTGCTCATCGTTCAGCTCCTCTGCAGCTGCTGTGTTGGGTCTCAGCCTCCTGTTTGAACCCAGGTGTAAGCAGGCTGTTCCAGAAGCTGGCAAAATAGTTTTTCTTGTGAAGCATCCTCAGCACTTGCTGCGTTCATGAATTTTCCAGTCCCTGAGAGTCTGAGATCTCAAAGATGTGCCCGGCTGTAGTTCAGAAAGCTGCGCTTGGTGTGGTTGGAGCTGCAGGCTGGTTGGTGCCTGGTGCCCAGATCTGCAGGGAGAGCTGTGCTCCATGAAGGGGCCGCTGTGGCTCTGGTAGAATGGACAGGGAAATGGCTGTTGTGACTCAGGAATCAGGGCGCTCTGGTGAAATGAGCAGCAGAGGAGGAGAACTGCAGGTGGTGAGTTCACCCTGCTGCTGCCCCTGCTCTGTGCATGGGAACGCAGGGCCCTGGCTCATCAGGTGTGTATTAGTTGCCCAGTTCTGCAGAAAGGAACTCTATTTGAATCACAGAATCCTTGGAGTTGGAAGGGAGCTGAAGGCCGCCTGGTGCCGCTCCCTGCAGCGCACAGGGACACCCACAGCTCAGCAGTGCTCACAGCCCCGTCCAGCCTGACCTTGGCTGTCTGCAGGGACGGGGCACCACCGCCTCTCTGGGCAACTCGTGCCTAATTTCAGTCTTCCTAACAGAAAATATACTCTTCCTATTTTCTTTAGGAAAGAAGTTGGGTAGCTGTGCATCAGTGTTCGCACACACCTTCAGCAGTGTCTGTGTCACAGCAGGGAAGGGATGGCTGCTTCGTGTTGTGTGCGTGCAGTGCTGGGCTTTGGGCTTCCTCGAAGAGGCACAGTGAGGCTGCAGGTAGAGGAGGGTGCTGGCTCACAAAACCCATTTGCAGGGGTCCTGAGTAGCTGTGCTGTAGGTTTCCCACAGCCCTGGCAGCTCATGGGCACAGGGCAGTGAGGAGCTGGCTGGGAGGCTCCGAAGGGCATTGACTAACAACAAGGGATGAGTCTCTGGGCAACTGTTCTCCACAGCAAGCTGGCCGGGGCTGTGGAAACCCCTCCAGCCCTGGAGCTTTCACCACTTCCTCGGTAGGATGTGTTCCAGCACTGGGTTGCAATGGGAGATTGGGCCAGACGGGGCCTGAACGGAGCTGCTCCGGCCACAGCCGGGCCTCGAGCACAGCAGTCGGGCTGGGCTGAAAGCTGCTTGTGTCCTGTGTCTGTGCAGCCTCGATTGAACTTTTCCCTGGCAAGGAGCAAAAGGAACTGGGGAGACCTAGGGCTGGTCCAGGCAAGTTTCCTCTGCTCTCCCCGCCTCCAGATGCAAGTGGGGGAACGGCAGCAGCTCCAGACTGCAGTCCAGGAGCTGAGCAGTTTGGGGGCTCCGGTCCCGACTGCTTTTAGAGCAAACAATTTTCGCCTCTGATGTTCTCTGCCTCTTGGGCTGCGATGTGGGGAGAAGGCGGAGGGGGGGGAAAGTGAAACTGTGGTTCAGAACAAGCCCTTTGGATGGCAAGAAAATTGCTGAGTAGCTGGTTTCCAGGTTGCCGAGGTCCTAGCCAGGGCCTGGTGCGGCTGCCAGAAGCAACAGGCTTGGAATTTCCTCTGCCTGGTGCCAGCTCTGCTCGGGCTGCCGCAGCACCTCTGTGGGGCCGGGGCTCCTCGCGGGCCCTGCGGACGGGGTTACGCTCAGAGCTG